GTTTTCAATATAAATAAATCTACTTTAAAATAATATCGCCCTTCTACAACTATATACTTCAGCTAGCTCTAGGGTTTCATGTAACCTAGCTAGGAGTATGGGCAGTGAAACAATGATCTCTTGGTCCGATCTTCCTGACGAACTAGTCGGGAGGATCGGAAAATGCCTCGTCGACAACCCTTTCGACGTCCTTCACTTTCGTGCAGGATCTGCAAAACATGGCGTTCCTCAATTCCTCCTTTCAAAAGCAACTCTCCTGATTTATCTCTTCAATTACCCTTTCCACTCGATTTCCATCACCCGAATACGTTCCCTGGCTTTCATCTCATCGAAAACACCGTTTATCTTTCCCAATTACCTCCTGATCGTGATACTTAGCCTGATTGTAGAGGTTGTTGGTTGGTCAAGGTGTCAAAAATTGCGGATGGAAAGTTGCGGGTTTTTAATCCACTGACCCATAGACGAATCAACGTTTCACCAGATAATAATAATAATATACCTAGGGTATTGAATTTATTAGACCTCCGCATTTCTCAAGTTTGTAAATCTTATCGTGTCCAGCACGAAAAACCCGACTTTGTTAGAAAAGTTTTGTTGTGTACTCATGAGACCAGTAATATTTCTCTACTGGCGTTTGTTGAAGCTTATAAATATGATTATACTGTGTTACTTTATTCGAAGTCGTTGGATGAGAATTGGACTATGTTAAAAGATGGCAGTTTCAATATAGTCGATATCATCGTATATAAGGGGAATTTTGTTGCTGTTGAGCGATGTGGTCGGACTATAGTGTTTGATTCTTATCTCCCATACTACACGACAGGGAGACAGCCCGCTGTAGGAAGAAACGACTCGTGGAATCAAACGGGTAGTTATTTTTGGTTGATATGGTTTTAGATTATAATAAGACGGAGAATATTAAATCTAGAATATATCGGGTGGATGAAGAACTACATAAGTGGATTGTTGGGTGATAGAATTTTTCTTTATTAGTTATGACTGTTGCTTCTCAGTTTCTTCACAAGATTTTGGTTATCACTACGCAGGAAATTGCATTTACTATGCAGAGAGAGGTATATACATAGATGACGGCAGAGAGAAACTCATACATAGATACAACAATAAAGGATTAGATGCCTTAAACACGAGTGTCTATACCATAGAAGAAGGTGAGCTTGGACCAGGCTTTTACCTCATATAGTGTTGCGACCAAAAAAAACAGCTTACATGCATACAATACATTCACTTTGTCATACCGATAAATTTGACTGTATCTAATTCTAAGACTAGGCGGTTACCATGGGCGAAGCTACATTGTCATAAGGGTGGTCAATTGACCACCCTTTGTCGAAAAATTACAATGCGTATATAGATAAAATATAAGATTTTAGAGGTATATGACATATATTGAACACCCTTTGTCGGAGAATTTTTTTCACTTCTTTCAAGTTTGAACACCCTTGAATAAATTTCTGGTTTTGCCACTGGCGGTTACCACTTAACTAGTTGAAAGGACCCTTTTGCATTTCCTGCGAGCTGCTGGTAAGTGTAACAATAGGAGCTACTGTCAGAAGTAACTTCTTCGCTTGGTTGGCTTCTCTATAGCAATGAGCTATGTTGAACTCTGTTTGATTCATCATCTGTATAATGTCATCAATAATCTTGTAGCTTGAGGTTGTTGGTCTTCTTCACAGTTAGCATATTGGCTACTATCTAAGAGTAGAACTCATCATACCCCTACCCCTGTTGCAAGCACCATTGTATCCCTATCTTGGCAGCCATTGCTTCTGTGCTATTGTTTGTGTTATCTTTGATTCGATTAAACTCGAATCTCATTATGTACATCCGCACCTGCTACCACACTCATGTTATCTTACAATAATGAAATTTTTTGCTTTTTAAAGGATGCATAACTTTTTAGAAGTGTGTGGCCCAAATATTAAGTTAACATGCAACTCTTCTCAATTTCCAATTTGATGCCAATGGTTTTTTTCTTCTATTTCAATCCGGCTATTCTTGATCAAGTTTCTGAGCATGGAAGAGTATTAAAATTAATGTGTTGCTTTACAGAAATTGCTGAGTCTTGATTATCTATAAACGAGGAGGCTGCAAGATCAAGTCAAGAAGAGATGCAGACCCCATAGGGCATTGGCTCTTCTTCGCCTTTGCCTTTGCTTTTGCTTTTGCTTTTGTTTCTTGCGAATACTAATAGCTTGATCAAAACTACTACATAAACATTTGTTTCCGCTAGGTATCACCTCATCTCAAAACTATTACTCCCTCTGTTTCTGAACCTATTTCCTTTTTGGTCCGTTTCAAAAAGAATAATCCCTTTCTAAATTTGGAAACAATTTAGCTTAAAATTCTGCGCCCCTTTTTGACTTGTTTAGGACCACAAATTCCAAAAATCTTCTTTTTGTCTTAAACTCCGTGTCCAATCAAACAGGTTCACATAAATTGGAAAGGAGGGAGTAGTACCTAATAGCTTAACTAAAATATATAACTAGGGTTAATTTCACTGATGGTCACTCAACTATGTTTCAATTTCACTAAAGTCACTCAACTATTTTTTTGTCACTTAAAAGTAACTAAACTTTCACATTTTCACTTAAAAGTCATTTTGGCTCAAACCCCTACTATAAATATGACATGGCATAACATTTAATGAGAAAAATCCAAAATAAATGCCACATAAGTTTAAATGGATCATACCCACTTTAGATCCATTTCTTCCTTAATGTGATTTGACCCATAACCCAAATGCTTTCAATAAAAAAAATATTAAATTTCACATTAGTTTAAAATGATTATCCTATACTACAAAATTCTTGCCTTTTCTATTACATAATGCCCATTTATAGTTATTCTATACTAAAAAAATTCTTATCTTGTCTGTATGCCCCATCCGAGTCGTTTTATAACTCTACTGAAGTTAAAATACTACTGTATCCAACTCACACAACATATTTATAATTTTCTAGTGAAATTAAAATAGTATTATATTCATCTTACATAACATATTAATGTATCATAAGCATTCTAAAATAATAATAAGGCTAATAAGAGTCTATTTTCACAAAACATGCACTTACAGATAACCTATTGCAATTGTTTTGACAAAAGAAATATTGTATTTGAACGATAAAAACCCCACAAAAAATCACAAGACCTAATTTTATTAGGGGTGTGTGTTTTTTCTCCTATTGAAACCCATTTGTGTTATGGGTTAAATACTTAAATCACATAAAGGGAGAAATAGATCTAAAGTGGGTATGGACCATTTAAGCTTATGTGGCATTTAATTTTGGATTTTTCTCATTAAATTTTATGCCATGTTATATTTATGGTAGGGGTTTGAGCCAAAATGACTTTTAAGTGACAATATAAAAATTTAGTTACTTTTTAGTGACAAAAAATAATTGAGTGACTTTAGTGAAATTGAAACATAGTTGAGTGACCGATGAAATTAACCCAAAATGTTTTAGTGATTGAGATTAGGAGGTTGGTGATTGTGATAGTTATCGATTATCAATGTGTTGATTAAAGAAAAAAATTAAAACAAGAGTAAAGAAATTGTAGTGACAAATGACCACGTTTTTGTGAGAATATAATTAAGTTGAGTTCTCTCATTAGGCAGAGAAAATATATAGCGACTGATTTCATTTTTAGAAATACATTTATGTGGGAAAAATCAATGGGAACCAATTTTTTTTTTTTTAAAAATACTAAATTACTTTTTTAAAATTAAAAACAGATACCATTCGCAACTCTTCAAGAATAAGAAATTAAAATATTCGAAGTTCTCTAATTATTTTTTGGCACCACACGGAATGTTCGAGAAATTGTGCGAATTTATTAATTATAAAAAGGAAATTAAAAGCTCAAATAGATGAAAACGACAGAGGCATATATCGATTGTGACCTCTTAATCATCAACAAGAAACCTTTATGCCATATTCCCTTCTATAATCTCGTAAAGTCATAATAATAAAAGCGAAGTATATTTTTCTTACTTTTTCATGTGTCTTTAATTAGTTGCTCCCCCTTTCAAATTTTGTTGCATATTTTACTTGGATATGAAGTTTAAAAAATAAAAATTAAACCTCATCAGCTTAAATATGCAATGAAATTTTGTAGTTATAAAAAAATGTCACTAAAATTTGAGTAAGTAAATTAAAATTAAACTTTTTTTAAAATATAAAAAGATAAGTAGTATTCTTTTTGCAACGAACTAATAAGAAAATAGTCTTACGAAATTAATTTTTACGTCTCTTGATCTTTATATTGTCTGTCCATGTTGAGTATTCGTCTAAGTTATCATTTATTTCTCTCAAATGTATTATTGGATTAACATATCACTAATTGAAACCAATAATTGTGAATATGAAAGAAAATCTAAAACATCAAATATTTTAAACAAATTAAGTTTTTGAAAAAGACAAATGTTTAGTACTGAAACTAATAGTCACTTCTTTCACATTCATCATTCATGCGACCATCAAAGGATGTGGTACAGTGGATGAGACTATTCTTCCCTTAATCAGAGGTCTCGGGTTCGAGCCCTGATATGGAAAAATCCTTGGTAGGGAACGCTTCCCCCGTAAAGGGGCCCTACGCGCCGCGTGGAAAACCAAAAAAAAAAAAATCATTCATGCCATCCCATTTCTTTCTATATCATATTTCGAAGAACAATAATAATTTTTTAAATTTAAATTTAAAAAATAATTTAGAACTTCTAATATACTACAAATGACAAGCTTTTATATTCATATACAAATATTATAATATATTTAAAATCATAAATTTTAAAAAATTTATAGTCGCGTGATATTTTTAAAACTATAAAAAAAAATTTAAAAAAAATTCTTCTTTAAATTCCTAGTCTTTTAAATTACGACACGTAATTTGAAATGAGAAGAATAACTTTAACTTTAAGGAACATAAAGAACTCCACCTTCTAGTCCCTTCAAGAACTTTCCCTCTTTAAATAATTAAATTATGAGAATCCAAAATCAGAAATTCATATAAATACAAAAACTCAACAAGCTAAAACAGAAAACTCAGAGAAGAAGAAGAAAAAAAAATGGCAAAAGCACGTTCAATAGGAATAGGTATGGATTATTCAGCAACAAGCAAAATTGCACTGAAATGGGCAATTGATAATTTAATAGAAGAAGGTGATAAAATCATAATTATTCATGTTGTTTCTTCTAAACTTGACCCTACTAATAAGCAGCTTTTTGAGGACACTGGATCTCGTAAGTTTTTTCTTTTATTTTTAAGTTTTAATTTTTTTATTTTTTTATTGTAATTAAAACACATTTTTTGCTAATTATTTTCTATGTTTTTCAGCTTTAATACCTTTGGATGAATTTAGAGAGATTAATGTGTCTAAGTATTATGGACTTAACCCTGATAGAGAGGTTCTTGATATGCTTGACACTGTTTCCAAGCTTAAGAAAGTAAGTTTAATTCTTCCTATTTCTTCTTCTCCTCTTCCTCTTTTTCGCGATAACTTAATCAACGACACGTGTCCTTAGATCAGTAGAGAAATTAAGTTCTACCTGGAGGATTCAATTGAATTTCTTACGAAGAAAATTATACTACACAAATACGGTAAAGATTTTCTTATTTATATTTAACTTTTTAAATCCTTTAAGTGTAATGGTAAAGGAGGTTCAAAATTGTTTTAAATTATAGTAATTAATAGTCTATTTGGCAAAGTTTTGAAAATTAGCTTATTTTAAGAATTTTTTTTTTTAAAAGTAATTTTGGTGAGAAGCAGTTTGTATTTGGCTAATTAAGCATTTATGAGCAGCAATTAGTGTTTGACTAAGCTTTTAAAAAGTGCTTCTAAGTGTATTTTTCTTAAAAATGCTTTCAAAATTTGAAGAAAAGCTAATTTTTTCTATTTCTCCAAAATTACTTCTGCTTCTACTCAAAAATATTTTTTTCAGTTTGGCCAAATATTTCGACTTGGAAAAAAAAAATACTTTTTTGGAAGAGCTTTGTGTTAGAATTTCTGATTTAGCCATAGTTAAAATCTTTTTCTTATTTTGAAGAGCTTGTGTTAAGAAAATTAAGCAGTGTTTAATTATTAGTTTGTGTATTTTAATTTGTTGGTAACTTAAAAACTACAGGTAATAGTGGTAGCAAAGGTATATTGGGGAGATGCAAGGGAGAAGCTTTGTGATGCTGCAGAACATCTCAAGCTTGATTCACTTGTAGTTGGAAGCAGAGGTTTAGGTGTCCTTAAAAGGTAAATTACACATCCCAAGTGGCGGAGCCAGAATTTTTACTAAAAAGGTGTCAAAATATAAAGAAGTAAACACGCAAAGAAGTCGAGAAGAGTCAACATATAGTAATATATGCATACAAAATAAAAATTATCAACTATACAGTATAATTTTCCGGACGAAGCCCCCTCCCCCTCCACCCAACAAAAAAAGAAAAAAAATATCTAACGTCAAAAAAAAAAGAAAGAAAAAAGGAAGGGCAGCCCGGCGCATTAAGCTTCCGTTATGCACGGAGTTCGGAGAAGGGTCGTACCACAAGAGTTTGTTGTATGTAATTTTATCCTTTTTTTTGCAAGAGGCTGTTTTTACATTTTGAACTCGTAACTTTCTGATCACATGGACAGCAACTTTATCAATTACGTCAAAGCTCCCCTCCTAAAAAAAATGATTACATTACTGATCTATAAAAAAAAAAAAGTGGTAAGTATCTTGCGTTCGCGCAGATCACTTTCAAAGATTATAATATAGACAGGCCTATCCTAACGTTAATAATTAAATAATCTAGAATTAATTGTTGTAGTGATCTTTTTTCAGAATAAATAAGGCATCAGTTTCATTATCAATATGGGGCTAATTCGCAACTGCTTATATATTTGCAGGGTGTTACTTGGAAGTGTGAGCAACCACGTGGTGCAAAATGCAACGTGTCCTGTCACAGTTGTTAAGGCCAGCCCTCCAAAGTAAAAACCCTATAAAAATGTTTTATTGTAAAAATAAATTTAAAGAAAAAAAAAAAAAGGCCTTTTTGCTTATTTTTGGATAACTTTTCTTGTGCCCGTTTTGTACTTTTATCTTTTTTTGGTTTTCTGTATATATATTTTTGGATTTTCTTATCAGGTTCAATGGTATGAGTTGGCTTTTGTTTGAGTGTGTTGTATGAGAGACAATTGTGGGGTTGTGTTATATTTCGAGTTTATCATCTTATATTATTTTTGTTGGTTTCTTGTTTGTCTTTATGAAAACTTGTCATTGTCAAATGCTGAATGTTTCACTTGTGAGCTGGGAAAAAAATTGTGAAGTTTCTTGTGATAAGTGAACACTGTGAAAACATGAAGGGTCGATGTTAACTAAAAGCAAAACCTTGCATCGAGTTTGGCCAACAATTTTTTCTTTTAATCGTGATGTTCAGACCAATTTGATCGTATCTCAATTAAATTTATGGGGTATCTGTTACTTTACCAGTACAGATATTGAAATAATTTTTTTCACTAAGGATTGAATAAATAGAAAGGATTTTTTTGGGTATTTTTTTATCTTTATTGGAATTTGGACTTAAAGACCTTATGACTTTTAACGCATTTTATGATCGTACACTTGAATGCACAATTTAATATCTTGATGAACTTTTGCTCAAAGGAGGAAAATGCCCATGCCACATTGCAATATATTATATCGTAATTTTTTTAAAGAAAGAGTAAGTATCTTTATTTCTTACTTCCATTTCTTTTTAGTCTAGTACAGTTACATGTCCTTCGATATTTTTCTTCATTTAAGCATTAATGTTAGAGATATATATGTACTTTTGTTCTTGCAGTGCAAAAAAGAAAAAAGAAAAAAAGAACGAAGATTGTGTTTTTTTCAATTTCATTAAGTACTTCTTAAACATGATTTATCTAATTTATGTGGAACAAATTGGTTAAACGTTGTGACAAAATCCTGCAAATATTTATCATTTCAATTTTAAGATTACCAGATTCAGATTAGACATGTTACTGAGATCATTTATTCTACTCATCTAAATCATAGAACTATTTTCTAAAATATGTTGGAGCAACAATTGTAGCAAATATATCATATGCAATGCAGGAGTAACGTGTTAGCTTTCTAGAATTATGACAGTTAATTATCCACAAGTTTTTTTCCGATTAAAAACTTTGACATGTATACTTAGTAAAATTGTTATATTTTAGGATAGGAAGCCATTCGAGAGTCAAGGAACAAACAACGTTGGTTTTGGATTTTGATGACTCTCTTTTTCACGGCGATGCCTGGGTTAGCGTGCGCGCACCTCGAGTATTCAACCGGGTAGGTACAACCTCGCACCAGCACAAGTATAGTACTACACATGTTTATCTAAGAAAGCTTGAGCCAAATTGCTGAAGCTTGTACTAACTTCACCTGCAGCTGCATAACTCTTGATTGCATCAATTACTTCTGGCTTTAAGATCTCTTTCTTGTTTGACGCATTGCAAAGATAATACAGAGCTCCAAGAGCATAATTTACCTGCCACTTCGAAGTTCATTTGTTAGAACCATGGGTGAGATCCATGCACATACATCTATATACTCGTGTGCCTGTCGCTATCTATGTTCACATGCAAACAATAACCATTTTCTATTGATCGGATAAACATTTCGTATTTTGTAATCGCTTAGAAAATGATGTCGATGAGTAATTGATATTAGACTTTAAGAAGTAGAACTGACCACCAAAAGTATGAACCAGTTTGTGGCAGGAACAAAAATACCAATAATTTAAAAGTCTTCCATGTGAAAAACAGTTCATTCCAGCTATGTTGCGCGGACTCTCCAAAATGATACGGCACCCGTGTTGGATCCTCCAAAAATACACTATTTTTAAGGATCCGACACGCACCTAGCAACATTTTCGGAGAGTCCGAGCAACATAGCATTCCAGAATGAGGAAACAACAGCATTTTATTTTGGATGCCACCTAAAGTAGCAGAAATTCACCATGCCAACCAGTAAATATGACTACGTTCTATAGGAGTGTGCTGCCATGCAAAAAAAATTCAAAGTTATCTACAAGATTGACAATAATTGGTACTCAACAGTTCAAGTCATGATTGATAGTTTGGAGTGCATTTCACTATGTATAACTGCAAATTTAACACATGAACAACAAGCACTCAATGACCAAGAAGACCATATAATAGTTTGTTAATGTCCTTACCGTGTTCCTAACAGGACTTGACAAACACTGGATGACGAGAGGGATACCATCATTTTGAGTGACGAGAGCAGCATTTGCTGTATCTGCAAGTTACAGATGCATCAACTGACATGGATAAGAGTTAATTGCTGGAGCGGTTTATTACATAAAGACCATAGTGATTCTAATCAGACGGGAAGAAAATATCCCTATCATGGAATCAAAATAAATTTATAAAAGCTTTTATCTTACCAGCACAAGCGTTGCAGATTCCTCCAATCCCAAATTCCACAAGCTTCTCATTAGGCTCAGTTATACAGTCGAGGAAAAGTTCTATAACATTAAGCTGTTTAATATCAAAAGACATGTTGAGGCAATAGACCTGGAAAATATGATGATTACACAACTCAAAACACACATTAGGAAGTTTCTTAACCTGGCGCAAGAAAGTATAATTGTAAGGATCATATGCAAAGTTGGCCAAATTAGCAACAATCTTCTCTTTTGTCTCTGTAATAACAAGAATGTATCAGTGCCCCAAAAGAAAAGGATGAAAGAAGTAAACAAGGGAAAGCACATTGTAGCGACTATATTTGCTGTAATCTTACAAGAAAGGAACTAAGATTCCAATTAACTGCCACGAAAATATAAGACTAACATACTTTATCAGTTAGCATTACTGGCTGCATGCCTGCTCTCTGAATGGAGTGTCCTTTAGTCTGATGCTAATGAAGGGACAAAATCTAAGAACTCATACCTTCTTCTTTTTGATAAGGTGAAGATTTTATTAAAAACATTATCAAGCTGATAGTGTGAAAATACAGAGATACTACTGGCTTAAAAACATTAAAATCGTAAGCAGTCCAGCATGTTATATAAATTTTATAAGAACATTTCTTTCCAATAGTACAAAAATGCGAACAACTTTATTTCATAAATCTAAGAACTCATACTTATCTCTTAGAGTAGGCAGTTTTGCTTTATCGAGGGAGAAGGTGTAACTGTTACCACAATTAACAGATATCGGTTGGCCAGAATAATAGTTGCTTTTGTCATTTAACATCTTGCATGAAAACTCAAGACCACAATAAGTCACCATGAAATCACACATATGAATACAGAGCTTTTCAGTGACATGACAGGATTAATGCTTGTTTTACCTACTAAGATGTTAACATTAACATGATTGTAAGGCGGGAGCTATAAAAGTCCAAAACTGTGATTGACTCAACAGGAAGGTCAATATGATATTTAAATCTTGTTCAGTAATCCAAGTCTGTAGAGGACAGAAAACAATTAGTTCAATAAAACTCTAAGCATACCTTCAGAAGATGCATTCTGAAACTGAGTTACCAATTCCTAAAACAAGAATGAAAGAATTGATTAGTGAAATATGCAAACAAGTTTTCTGCTTATACAGGAATTTCATGTACAAGTGATGTTTTCTTAATATACAGCATATGAAGTTTAGCAGTTGAGCAGTTCCGGTCTTATTCCTTACATAATGTCAGGCGATCAATATATCGAGTAAGGAGGAGTAACCTGAAGGTATTCCACCCTCTGAGTTCCATATTTTCCGGTGCGTTCTTCTTGCCTTTGGCTATTCGTGAACATGTGACCGCAGCTATGGAAGAGGAAGAGATCAGACTTCAGTAACAATGTAAAGAGGATGTGCACCACATATAATCTTCTAACTTAAAGTTTTATTTTCCCAGTAATAAAGCAATTAATATTAGTATAAGCAACTTAGATCTAGCAGAAATGGAAAACAGAAAAAGCAACTAGTATCCCCTAGATTCTCTCACATCATTCCCCTTTTCTTCCCCCACCCTTGCCATAACCTTAAACCCCATTGCTACACCCTCGTGCCATCCGACCAGCTCAAAAACCCTTCCTCCTCCTCCATATCCCCCCCTAGCTAAGTGGCCGTCACCTTCTCGTTGGCGATCACCGTTGCCAAGAATGGCATAGTAATTATGACAACTGTAAACTAGTCCATGGACAAATTCTCAATGAACCATTAATAATCAATCAACTACCCTCAATCTCAAATCAGTTCCAAGACCAAATAATCCATCTTAAGCACAAACTTAGGTTGTCTAAATCTCACACTTTTCCTTCCGAAGATAATTACTTTAATCCCAACTAGTTGGTACAACATTTTTCTTTTGTTTCCATTGTGTTCTATATTTCGTTCTTTTTTTATGAACTAGACATCCGTCTAGGGCGAACCCTTATGACCAACAACAGCCTTCAAAACTCGGGGATAATGGATCCCCCACTCTACCATTCTCTACTTAAATACCCATTGTGTTCTATTCTTAATCCGCTAGGTCAAGTTAATAAAGCTTTTCACTGTAGCAAGACATACCATAATAACTAAAGGCCAAAAAAGGAAGCAACAAAGTTGATTACTTTGCAGATAATTCAAGATCAACAAAATGGTCTAATAATTAAAATTCCTCTAAAAATCTGAATCACATCGAAACCAAATGCTAAAAGGGGATTTTCAATCAACAAACTGAAAATCTAAAAAAAAAAAACATTACACTTATTGTAACTCAAGGTGCAAAAGTAGGATTCTCAATCAATCAAATGCAACATAAGAAACTATCAAATTGTGAAAAAGGAGCAAAAAATAGAGCTATAAACAAACTAAACTTATACTTGCTTTTTGAGTTGTTTGTTTTAAACAACATATTAGATAGTATTAGATAAGCAATATAGTAAATAGCACTCTTCTGTCTAACCATATACAACAGCTTTTTAACAAAAAATTGAGGTTAATCGAAAACGAATCGCAGCACTAAATTTAAAACGTACCGGATAATAATACTTTTGAGCAAATTGAGGGAAAGCTTCGGCAAGAGGAGATGATGAAAATTTCTTCAGTTTCCCGGCAGAGATGACGGGAGAGGAATTGGGCTTCGGGGCGTTGGGCTAGATTACAGTACATAGTAAAGGTGTTTAACGGGTGGGCCGGGCCGGGCCTATGTTTTTTGGACCTGTACGCGTTACGGTCCGGGCCGGTTACGGGTTGAGTCTTAACGGGTTTAACGAGTTCGGGTTCATCCGGATAAAAATTAAACCATAAGGGCTACGGGTTGAGGGAGCCGGGCCGGGCCGGGTTTAGTATAATTTTTTTTTTTTTTTGAATTTTGTATAAATATTGTAAGTTATAGTATTAATTAAAGTACTAACATAAAGAATACAAGGAAGATGGGAAAAAATTGCACTTATAAATTGCAAGTGCTATATTTATTTCAAAACTACAAAATTAAAGTTTGCATTTAAAAAGTAAATTAACAAATAAATAGTAAACTAAATTTTCATGCATAATAAATTAATAATACTTCAAATTAATCTAACAAACTAATCATTAAGTATAAATACGTCTAATAATTTAAAATAACACAAATTGTCTTAAAATCTTAAAATAACACATATATAGCATATTTTAAAAATAATACGTTACCATCATATTCTATGATTTGAGCATTTATAGTTTTATACCCTAAATATATACACTATATGTTAAATTCCAATAATTTTAAATTATATTAATTAGTATACAATAATTGGTATATTCATGGTATATTTATAGTATATTCATAATATATTTATCGTATATTCACGGTATATTCATGTTATATTCACGTTCCGGGCGGGTCCGGGGCGGGCCGGTTAACCGGTTTAACGGCACTGTTCATCTAACGGGTTTTACCAGGCCGGGTAACTCGTTTCAAAAATTTAAACCGTCCAAACCCACCCCAACCCCCCTACCCAGCCCCCCCTTACCGGTCCGGGCCGGTTCCGGGTTCTACCAGTCTGGGCCGGTCCGGAATCGGGCTAACCCGGCCCGTTTAACACCCTTAGTACATAGGTACAAATGATAGCCACTTTTAATGGTGTTATTTAAAGGGACCCAAATGTCCCAAATAAGTCTCACCTTACCGATCTCTAGCTATTAGTCATAAATTTACCAAAATAAAAATTGAAAAACCAAATAAATAAGGTTCTTTCTCTCAAAGAACCACATGCAAAAATCATCTTCCATATTTTTAAGCGTGATTAGCAACATTAGATGCAAGACGGAAAGGAAATTTCATGGATGAGGTAGCAAATAAGGCGATGAAATACAAAAAAATAATATAATATTCCAAAAATCTAAGCAAAAAATGAACTTTTTCAATGTGTATAGTTAAAATTTATTGAAATCATATAGATAAGTCAATATGCAAAATTTGAGGAAGATTGGAGGTGATTTGAACTGATTTTGTATCAAAATTCGTGATTAAATCTAGTTCAAAAAATTCTTCTGCAACACATGTATCAAACAAGTATCACGCATGTATCTCACGCACATGTATACATGGATATACATGTGATACACAATTGATATAAATATGATTCATATGTGATACACACATCATTTTTTTTTATGTTTGATTTTTACTTCGAAATTTCAATTCAAACCATCTCAAAACTTCACCAAATCATCTTAAAACTGAAATTCAAGCTCCTTAGGATGTACCAAATCTATTCTAATAACACCCAAAAGAAAGCAAAAAATTTAATATTTTTCTGCTACAAATAGCTAATTGGCTAATATTAGTAATATTTTATTAATTGACCAATTTTTATAATAAGCTACTTATAAATTGACATATATGGTAGTTTCCCTTATTTAAAAGCTAGCCACAACTTATGAGGGCCATTTATGTCCTGCATTCCCAAATAAGCCGAAGCCCATGGCCCAAAACCTGGTCGAGGGATGACTTTTCTAGGGTTTGGCATCTCTATAAATTGCCTAATTGCTTTCCCTATACTCACTCTTCTGTTAAAAACATAAATCGCATCTATCGCGTGCTCTCGACTTTATAGAAATGCTAGCTTGTTTTATTATTTGAAATGATATCTATTTTTTGCGCCTCCTTCTGATCGAATGATGAACAAGTATTTTTTGTGTGTTTCATCATTTTTATACAAATTTACTGGAGGCAAAGTAATATCGGCGAGATATCGTTTCGGTCGTTATTTCTTTACATTGACGATTTGATTGTTGCTCGTCTACATCTTACTAATATTTTTCCCTTTTTCCTTCTTCGGTTTTAAATTAATTTACTTCCCGTCTTTTTTCTCTCTTTTTTAAGATATAGATGAAAATAATTTAAGAACATATGTTCCGGCTCAATAGCGGCATTTAATAAATGTCAACTATTATTGCGAATTGGAGAAACAAAATGTCCAAAGATTATTTTCTTTAATTCTTTTTGTCTATGGCCTTTAACCAAAAAAAAATTCATTTAACTAATTGATATTCTAAAATATAAAAATGTTATATTAATTTTTTCCCCTAATCTCAATCTTACTACCCAGAAGGAATCAGTAATTACTTAATAAAGAAAATACGGATAATTTAGTTAAATAATCTGATTTAAATCTTACTACACCTAAGGAATCACTAATTAGTTACCAATAAAGAAGATAAAAGACAATTTAGTCAATTACTAATTTGATTTAATTAAAAAAATATTAAACATGTCATGTTTATGTGGTTATTAAAAATATGATGTTATGAGTAAAATGTGAAATTTAAATCAAATTGTAATCAATATAAAAATGTGTGTAATTTTTTTTAGGTGTCACAGTTTGGGTATATAAAGAGGGCAAGTGGGAGTATTAGCTAGCAAAGACCATTTAGGTTATGCTAAAAACGAAACAGTAAAAACTTTCATGTCATAAAGGATATTTGGGACTGTTTTTGGTATTAGAAATGTCAAACAACATAAAACTCAGGTCCATTCTCAAGTACTCTGCACACTCTAGTATTCTGCACACCACAGTATTTTCACATATATGAAAAGTTAAATCTAGCGTGGCATAAAAGGCAGGAGGAACTAAGTTGGCATAACAAAATCGCTGTAGGCATTTAGCCAACAGAGAAAATAGACACAGTAAACTCAAACAAGTTAAAAAAGTGAATTCATTCTAAATAGGAAATTCGTCTATTCTACTCTCTAATGCTCTTCCTCTTATAAAAGGTGTAAATGAAATGATTCTTTCTTGCATTCAGACTTCAGAGGCTTGGTCTTGTGTGATCAATGTTCCACGTTTACAAAATTTGGTATCCCCAACATGTCATGAAAAATGAATGCTCCCTCCGGAATGCAACGTCTTACTAGCGGGTTTAATTGAACCCATAACTGTACTAAAATTGTAACAATAGTAAGATATGAACCCATAACTTTAAAAATATAATGGGTTCAATGTTAAAACCTTTAAAAGTTGAGCCCATAAAATTTAAATTCTGGATCCGCTCTCCCCTCCAAAGTTACAGCAATACAATTTTGTTAGTAAAACGAGGTTTGGACTATTTAATCCAGAGTGAAAGCAGAGGACTGCCAAGGCGTGGAAATTATACAGAACAACCTTCATCCCATAAGAAGATTTTATGTTTTTAGTCTTTCCAATAAAGTTTGAAGAAACAATCTTTTTCTCTGAACTGCTGCGCTTGAACTTCAGACTGGTACCATAAACATGATGCTGGCTGCAATAATATTAAGTACATTACGTACCGTATAATCAAACACCCTTGGAGCGACATTCCCATCTCCATCAGTCAAATTGTTTTAAAAGGAGCAACAAAGATCAAAAACCATCTTCATTAATTACCCTAATAATCCGGTCACACATGTACGATGGAGAATTGGTGCAGGGGCGTGGTACCTCTATTCCTTCATAAGAAGCCCTTTCGTCATTCTTTTATCATTTTATCGTTCCACTTTTACTCATCAAGCAGTAAGAACAAGCACTTGTACGATCCCTTGACTATTTGCTGTTAAAATGGTTGGGCTCTCGCGCTTCCAACAAACAGAACTGATGAAATGTGATCCCATGTCCTCATCTGGATCATTCTGGTCAGAATCAAATATGTGCGATGCTACTGGCTTAGAAATCGCCTGTGCATAAATCCAACATATGATCAAAGGGAATGATATGAATCTTGTTATTTACTAGAAATAACCCGGTTTTCTACTATAGTATTAGAAATACCTTTTGATAGACAAACACTTCATTTGTTTCACTGCCACAGGCAATGTATTCGCTGTTTACTGCAAGACCCACAAAGTTCTTCTCATTTGTATGTCCTCCAAAAGTTCGCAGCTGAAAGGGGAAAAAAACACAACAAAGAAACCGCCAAGTCAAAGCTTAGATAATTCTGTGGATTTATTACAAAATTAATTAAAGCATATGCATGGTAGCATAAAGCCCTTGTGGGAAGTAGTTACTCCTTTTGAACAAAAAAACAACTTACATACACACAAGCGGCATGCACATTAAAAAACATTGAAATTTAGCAAACTATGCTCCCTCCCTCCCTCCTACCTAATTTTAATGTTAATCCCTAATTGGTGATTGGTTTTCAATTGATTTTTCCTAGTTTGCTTGGTTTTCAGGAATTAACTTTTGAAACAGTGGAATTTGTAATTGACATCTCAAGTATTCACATTGAGGAACACACATAGTGTAACAAAAGCAACAAATCAGCATGATAACTTACTGGAATGTTCTCCTTGACATCCCACAAACGCAATGTACCATCCGTTGATGCAGAAGCCAGCTCATTGTTGGATAAAAATTTCACATATGAAACAGTTTTATGGTGTCCACTGAAAATATGCAGCGGCTGCTTAATATTTCTCAAGTCATAATAATGGATATGATTATCAGCAGAACCCACCTGCAAGAAACAAGATCACGCTTTCGTGTAAAAGTTCAACAATGTACTAGATTTAGCATAATTTGATGCATTGATGCAAGAGGAAGTGTGACTCACAGCTATATGAAAGCTGGATTGAGGATTGTACTTCACAGAGCAAATGTTTGCTTTCAAGTCAATGCTAATAACACTTGCCTCCTGGTTCATGCACCAAACTTTGACCTGTTGAGCAATTTGAGTTAGCTTGCTATGATCTTTCACACATTTGATAAGTCTAAGGATAGGATTATCAACCCAATCCAAGGAACTAACTCTCAAACTTGAAAAGTCAATATAGTTGTTATCAATCCAATAGGAAGAACTGAAAGAATCTCTCAAACTGTTATTCCGACTTCTGAACCAGAACTTTATCAAATTCCTAAAATACGGAAAAGAATTCAAAGGAATGAAAATCGAAAATAAGACGAATTATGGGCCTTGTTGCCTGGTGCATCTCACTCACTCTTCTAATTTGTTGATGGTAACCCCAACTGCGTAAGGAGTAACAAAATGATGTTTGTAGCTCAAAAAGGTTTGCATAATTAAGATAGATGCCTTTGGAAAGAATATAGTAGCAACTTCCAGGAATTTGATATCCATAAAGCTCAATGACATACTCCCCTATCTGCTCTCTATTTGTCAATTTCGTCAACTTTACGTACACACTTACAGTAGTCAATCTAACAATATATTAGAGACGACCATGAAAAGCAAAAAGAGAAAGATGATGTTCTTTTTACCTTGCAATCATCACTGCCGGACACAAGCATAGAAGGATCAATATGAGAGAAATCAACACTCCACGCTCGGTTTTCATGCTCTTCATACTCCATAACACTCTGAGCAAGAAAATATATAATAATGTTATCAGAGATTTGAAACATGCCCCATGATAAAAGATAAAACTCCTGAAAACAGATACTACCTGACGACTGGTCACATCCCAAACGGTTACTATGCCTTCATAGTCACTGCTCGCGATGTGGTTCTTTGTGTGCTTGTTCCAGCTCAGACAACTAAGTTTGGATCGTGAAGACATTTCAACAACAGGACATTGTGCATCAGCCGGTTCATTTACCACCTAAAATGAGAACATATCATATCCGATTTATACATAGTAGAGAAATAGAAGTACAAGAAACTGCTCTTAGAATATTAAGCATTTAATTCATCTCAAACTGTTGAGGTAATTTCAACAGAATGAACGGTATCGTACGACTTTTATCAGGATGACACTATTCTATAAAAATCATTTAAACATCTCATTAAACCAATGTTCTCACAAAAAAAAAAAATAACAAAAAAAAAAAAAAAAAAAAATCCCAATGTGGGAAAAGGACATGAGGCTGTGATCCAGCTTTACTTGACGGCACTTGAGATATTACAACATTGTCGAATAAAATGGGAAAATAATCTACCAAATGTAAAGTAGTAAATCAGCCACATCAGATTAAAAAAAGAAAAACTACCAGCTGGAAATATCCACCATTTGCAATGGGAGGGATTAAGATCACGAAAAATATACTTACTGATGAGAAGTCAAAGACCTTGATTCGTCTCGACACACCAGCTGTAGCAAAAAATTCATCATCTCGATCAAATTCAATACTGAAAGATGAGGCAATTGCAGGTGTTAAGAGAGAGAGAGAGAGAGAGAGAGAGAGAGAGAGAGAGAGAGAGAGAGAGAAGCAAGAGTTCATGTACAAAGATTGAAGAGATAGTAAAGTATTCACTAGTTACCAAAGTAAGACCTCCCAAGAGGAGAAAATTCAACCACTTGCTACCGCACGCATGGGAACTGCTAGGGTGAGCCCAGATTAACAAAAAACAGAGTAGAATTACCATTATATTTCTAACAACTCAATGATAATGACCTTTCTGACCCATTTTTGGGATCAGGAGTGATCAGATGATAAAAATCTCTCAACCTCCACTAAGTCAATCATATGGCGATATCGCCAAAATCCAAACAAAGAAAATTCATGAAGCGGAAGACTAGTGGTAACACATCAACAGGCTGGCATCATCATTTAAATTTTATCACTTTAAATACTGGCCTCTTGGAGTGAGCTACATTCTTGTGTTCAGTACTTATTAGAACTCCTCTGGCTCATGGAATCTTTCTACATGCAATAAGCTTCTTACCTTGAGACAATATTAGCTGAGTGGAAAAGATCGGCATGCCTAAGTTCAGCAACAACCCGCAACCGACTGTTTGAACAAAAAAAGAAAGTAGACAAAAGCTTTAAGCTCAAATATATAGGAGGCCTTGCAGTCAATGCAAAACGTATTGACCAAAAAACACGGACCTGTATTGTGTAATGGTAGATAGAACAGATTGAAAATCCTCAAGTTCTGCACAATAACCTTCTCTGTTTATGACGTTTGCTACCCTTTCTTCCTGTCTATGTGATTGTTTTGTGCAGTGTCGCCGCTTTTGCAAATAATAACCTTGTATATCATCAAACTGTTGCAATATGCGTATTAAAGAGGGCATATAAACACCGAAATACTCTTCCAGCATAGGCCAAAACCAAATTTACAATAACCTCCAATAAGCTAATTTACAAAATACTGACCTGTGCACAGATACGTCTCTTTCTTGCTGTCACAAGTCCAGATTGATCAGAATTCTGTGAGTCGGAATCCGTCATGTGAACATTCTCTGGAGCTCTTGCATCTGCTTTCCTGTTCTGTGAAGTGTCTGAAGCAGCATATCCTTGTCGCTGTGAAATTGAGGAGCAAGAAATGATGCCAGTACCTTGCTTATCTATCAATGAAGGCCGGATTGTCACCACAGAAGAATCATTTAATAGCATTCTCATCTTTGCTGCATATCTACACCTTGCCCTATACAATTCCATTCTATGTTCCTCCACAGCACTTGTATCTTCTTTAATGAACTGGAGATCATTTTCAACCTATGAAATATGCAGGATATAGTAAATAATCTGCTTGCACCCTAATAAGCAGGAGTAAGATGAAATCAAGCCTGGGAACCGAGAAAACATGCAGCTAAAACTGTAAGTATTCCTCCTTGGTTCCAAATTGATTGCTTTACCCTCTCTGTCTCAAAGTTTTTCCACTTTCCTGAAAGAGAGGCTTTTCCATTGTATTTTTTCCAGAAAATATTGTGAGATCTCTATCTCGGACCATTCAAATTAATTAAAACATAATTCAAGTCCAGCCTCGATAACTGTGCCCAAATTTCCAAGAAATAGGGACACTTAAATTAAGATAGAGGAGCATCATGCATGAAGCACCAGTTTATCCTCAGCCTAACCGCAACCAACCCCCCAACCCAAAAAATAGAACCCCAAAACAAACAAAGCAAAAACAAAAAACAAAAAGGAAAACCTCTAAGGCACACCAATTATCAGAAAATCGTATGAGTATTAAAACAAAAAAAATGGGAAATAACAGTACAAACACTGGAACTCTCAGTCTCAGTCTCTCAGACATGGGTTTTACTGTTGAAGATATAGTGATAGTCATAGTCATACATGCACATCTCCTTCCCACGAAGTTATTGCGAAGAGAACATTGCCCAAGCTTCTTATGAAGCAATTGTCAATTCATGTCGCATTAAATTTTCATGTCGCATCTAAGGGAAAAAGATGGTTTCAAGTATCTATCAACTTCCCAAAATTCCATTGTACTATTAACTGAATATGCCTTTCTCCATTTAGTCTACAAAGAGAATTTGTACAAAATACACCCATGTCCTAACCGAATGAAGCATCTAAAATAAATAGAAGAAAGAACCAAATTGTCCACGACAGAATAAATAATTACAAAACTAAAAGACACTCTATAAGTTAATAGATATAAGTTCAAGACAAACCTCATTAAGCTCTTCAACCTTTCGCTTCCTCAAAAACTGGAGGAACTCAAGCATAATCCGAAGACTTGATTCAGCTTCTTCTTGCTCCATTTTCCTTTTCTTGTCCATAAGAAGTGATAAGAGGCTTTCAAGCTCTTTAACAGACACCTCGCTTCCCTGTTAAGAATCAGAATGAGAAGTCTCCAAGAGATAAAGGGTCACCCAGGCAAGATAAATGCTAGATAAAGACTGTCAAAAGAAACTATCAACACAAAATAACTAAGTACCCACATGTTATGCATGTCCAAGAAACTACATCCTGTCAGATCACTTTTCCTCTTGCAAATAGACAGGATGTAGCTGAAACATATTCTACCCTTTTTTTTAAGAAAGAGATATATTCTACCCTCCCTATCCTTTTCTTAAAAATTCCACTAACATCAGAAACTGCAATTCATCATCATCACAACATATAATCTGCTATAAGCTGTTCACTTTACTATAAGAAACAAGATAGCTCGTCTAATGCAGTGCATAATATCTGACCTGCTGTATTGCTTGAGAAAGTTGTTCCAAAGGTGTGGCCCTTCTGGATATTTGGAGAGCAGAGGTCTTCATCAATAACTGCACAATAAAGAACATAAACACGACTTCGATCGACAAATAGATAACCTTTCAGCGATGTAATTAATCATCAATAAATCAGTAAACAGTGAAGTGTTGAGCACGAAACGGAGAAAGGAAAAAAAAAAAGGAACGAGCAGTGAGAAGAAAAAAGAAACAATGGAACTGAAATACAATAAAGGAGAATCAATGAAGTTCTCTATCATCTCAAACATTGATCTATTCAGAGTTTTGACAGAAAGCATTTAACAGGAAAAAAACTTACATCTTTCGAGATTTTATATGAAAGACTTCCATAAACTATTCACCAGTTCAAGTGAATCTCAATGTAAATTCTGAAAAACAATTTTCTCCATGAATACTTGCTCAAGATCCACATAGAGCATCTGATCACAAGATAGGAAATGGTTACCTCTATTCCCAGCTTTGAAGTGCAGCGATCAATTCCTGCACTACTTGTTCGTAGAAGTCTTACCTTACAATTCGGAAGCCAGCATCGCAACTCCTTATGGATTTCTTCATAGCGACAAACTAATATTTGCTTTATATCATCCTATCATTCTATCAATCACTTAAAATAGGTTTTCAAATATTGAATTGAACTCGTAAAGCATGACAGATCCCAAAAACCAAATAGAGGAAGAGTGCTGCAGTAAATTGATGGCTAATGTAAATATAATTAAATTAGGAGTAACGAATCCTATGAATAGATAATTAAATTAGGAGTAACGAATCCTATGAATAAAGAGGAGTTGAGAGAAATGAATAGAGAGAATTGAAAACAACCTGCCCCAACTAGTTTAGAATTGATACAGTTGAGCTGAGACTTGAACTTAATCAGACTTCAAGTATTATCAATGTCTGTGTAAGTGAAAATCATAAAAATCTTTATGCAAATCTAGGATTAAATCACAATTTCTCCAAGAATCAGCACTTACTCTACTCTACCACACACCCCTACCAGGGAAACAATGAGTGATCCCCCCC